TTAATCGATAATCCGTTTGGAAACTTGAATGAAAGGTCAGTCCTATAATCCCAGAAAAAATTGAATTTAATTACTGTATTAATTAACTATTAATACAGGATTATTAGTGATTGTGATCGAAGAAATTCACCTCAATAATATTGATTATGAATACAATTATCCATAACTACCACTCTATTAGGGTTTATATGTTTGAAATACAAATGTCAAATAAACCGGTCATTTATTGTATGACAGAATTGCTATAGAAATCCATATTCATAACACAAGTTTTGAAACAAATACATTACACATGTATGAGCACAACATTAATACATGGATGCTTTTATTTTTGTTAAGTGCATTTTATAATTCACTATTTGTGGTGTAATTGTTTTAAAACATTTATTTTAAATGCTTTTAAAACAGATTTTATTATAAATAAACACTATTTGAGTTTCAATATTCTGGTTCATGGGATCAAGTGTTGCAAAACTAATGAATAAGTATTGCTCTCAAATTCCTCTTCAATAATTGAATGCATAATTTTGTGTAAAAGGAAACCAAATATTTAGTTCCGTATATTTGAAAATATCCAAACATTAAGTTTTGGCAAAATTATCAATAAATGAAATGAGAATATTAACGGATATACAAATTTCTATGGTTTATAAACTCATTCATATAAAAATAAATTTTAAATTAAATAATTTTTCTCATTGAATATCAGATATCGTGTCCCGGAGTTCGCATCTCTTCGTACAAAACAAAACTTTATTTACGGATAAAACTATTTAACTGTTTAGCGATTAGCTCTCAATTCAAGCCTAAATTTCCTGTTATTCTTTACGAACACTTCTATTTCGATCAACACTTTGATTCCCGCAATAATAAACAACTTTTAGATTTGCTTTCAGGTATTTTTCATCATTTATTTCATTACGGTTTCAATATTTCCCAAATATTTTAGACCAAGAATTAGTGATTGAATTAATGGACGAAAAGAATCTAATTCTTTGCAAATACGAGTCAAAAGCAAACGATTTCTTGTATCCGAGACCTCAGTTGCGACCGAAGTATAGCCAATCGAGTCGTTCACTACTTATGGATTGTTGTCTTCTTCCGATTGCACCCAAACTTGAGTTTAATATCATTAATACAATCACCGAAGATGTGGAAGAATGTGATACAGATATTGATATCAATACACTTGAATCCGATTCTATTGAATCAGATCTAGAATCAGAAGAAAACAGTCCTCTGTTTTAACAACAATTATATTTTATTCATTAAATAATTTATATTATTTCCAATTTTGACAATTTATAAAAATCTGTTCAATATTTTATGAAATAAAAACTGAAGAATTGGTTAAAATATAACTAAATCTCTGATTGAATACATAATTAATCAAAAGTCAATTGAAATTATAATTGAAGACTAAATCTAAAAGTGAAGAGTAATTATTGAGCCCTAGATTTGGATTTAAAGAGATGTAAATATTGGTTGGGATTGTATTTCAAGTCAATCTCTTCGTCTGTCCTCAAAGTCTCGATACGTTTACGGCGGGAGAGCCATAGCCGACGGTCGGCCTCTGTCTGGCAGTCCTCCAGAAGTGTCGGCAATTGGATTATGGATTGCGGTTCGGAGTGTCTGACAGTGATTGTGGATCCGTCCGGATATACCATCAAAACCT